AAACATCTGAACAACATCTCACGTAACATGATTGGTTTAAAACCCCTCAAAGGCTAAGTTGAAGTATAGAGCGTGTTAATTTGAAACTTTCCAATAAACATTCCAATTAATTACTATATACAAGGGGTGATTTTTGTTAAATAAGTATTTGTAGGCTTATAATAAACAGATCTAATTTGGGTTAGAAATAAGCGACAGATAAGCTACAGTATTGTTTATCTAAACCTTGTATTGTAAAATGACAGAAATAAAAACATCCTGTTATCGAATACTTAAGATGCAGTTGTGGCAATCAGACATCAATTGTTGCTATGGCTATTAGCCTATACGATAATCTAAGTCTAATTATTTATTAGTATTTTCATATAACTAGATGGTAATAACTAACTAGTTTATATCCTACGTTCTGGTTGCTAATCTGTTGCCAGATTAGAACTTAAATTATCTAACTTATTCAATCTTTTTCAAGAAGGGTTTCAAGTTTTTCTGACTTATATGCTAATGTATGTTATCAGTTGGGTATTACGAAAACATGTAGCCTCAAGATATTACCTCAATACAAATGTATGGAACTTTATAATGACCTTCTCTGGCATATTGAGCTATTGTAGATAAATCGGTATTACCAACTCTTGTATATCTGTTATGCTCTTGAATTTTAACTCCTTACAGAAGATGCTGTAAATACTGTTTTTACTAAGATACTAATTAATAATTAGACTAAGGTGATCGTATAGGCTGTTAACCATGACAAAGATCCTATTATCACATTACTTAAAACAAATTATAGTAATAATTGTTTTTCTGCATAAAAATTTCCAGAACAACATTTCACTATTGTATATATATTCAGAAGTATTTATATTATGTTTTAACATTAGCAAGCAGAATGGAAGAAAACAGAACTTTTAAAGCTGCCTGACGAAATGAAAAACTTAGAAAACACAGCAAAGTAAGTGTGACTAAGAATGGAAGAATTACACCGTTTTTTTATTCTTATTTCAACTAACTATTTTATTTTTAGCTAAATACTTGTGGCATTGTATGTGACTTACTGAGTATAAATAACCTATATATCTAAAAGAAGGTATTTCTAGTTTCTTTTTATAATATAATATTTTAACTTCGTGCATCAGTGAACAGTAATTCGTAAATATGACGGTACATTGAATGATACGTGAATCATTAATATAAAGCGTGATTTTATCTGTGTAGGCTAATATTTAAATTTAACCAAATTCTTATTCTAACTGCTTAATCATTCATATCAACTCAACATCTATAGCAGATATTTTTTCACTGTTTGGGTTACCCTGGTAACTGGATAAAGCTTACACTACAAACTCAACTGTTACATTTTATATGACAGCGCAAACAAAACCCATGTAGACGGAATAACGGTCAAATGAGTTGTACTTAAAATATTCTGACTTTACTTTCAATTTGAAATGTTTGTTGATTTGTTTTGTTTACGTAAACACAGCCATGTTCAATACCGATTATTAGCAATATGTTTGTATTCTTAAAAATGTTTAACATCGTGTAGCTATCACCAATAAACAGTCAAAAGATGGACCTTGAATACATGGCTATTCCTAAAAAACTTCCATGTTCACCAAACTAACTAACCACCAGTAGTAATCAGATATTCCTAGGATGGAAAACCAGACAGCATTGATATACAATAAGCCTTTCAAAACCGGCTGGAGCTTTAGGCGATAATACCTGCTCCCCCCACCTAACGCTTTATCCGTTTAAAAGGAACCTCAGTAACAGATGTATCAAATAATATGTTATAATTTTGACTATATATATAAAATAAAATAAACTCTTTATTGTAAACTGTGATTATTTCTGAACAAGATAGGTTGAAGTTCTTGTTTAAAACACTTTCATTGTAGATTTTCTCTCGAAGTATTAAAGGCAGACATTAAAACCTTGAACAATAAACTCTTATTGTAAACTGTGATTATTTCTGAACAAGATAGGTTGAAGTTCTTGTTTAAAACACTTTCATTGTAGATTTTCTCTCGAAGTATTAAAGGCAGACATTAAAAGCTTGAACGATCGAACAAACTCACTTTCTAAGCAACTTCTAACCGCTCATCAGGATTTAAGGAACCAAATGGAAAGTTTTACTAACGTAAGTAAATATGGACAAGAGAACTAAATTCTTATAGCATTTTCAAGGTACTGATGTTTGGATATAGCACTTTGATTTTTGAGTCAAACCATTTTAACAATTTTTCACATGATTTATCTGAAGCATACCTGTTTTTGTATATAGAAATTAAATATGAATGTTCGGTTTCAAGCATATGAAAATTTGTTTTCCTGAAAATAATGTGCTAGAGGAACAGTCTCATTAACAGATATACTTTTGAGTTAGTATTAGAGATGTAATTCAAAAACATTACCATAGAAAAGAAACAATAATAAAAAAAATCGGTTTCTGAAATATAAAAATTCATACTTTGTTTATGGACTATCTCGGAAATATGTATAATTAATATGACTAGCAGATGTACCCGTGCAAAGCACGGTAACAAGTTTATGGAAGTTTCTTTTTCCGAAATATGTTAGTGGCAATATAAAGATTCCAAGCACATAAGTATAAAGTTATTCATGTCCACTTAACTTGATTATTTGAATAACATGTTATTTTCTATTTTAATATTTTTTTTATCAAAATGCAATAAGTTACATGTGATTTAAAAACACCTCACTTAACAAAATGTGTCTATCTTCAAAGTATGCATAAACAATGTGTGAAAACAAATCCCTCAAATGATTGATGGGATTTGAAAAGGATACGCAGTTGTAGAATCAATATTCCATCAGTTATGAATATAAATAGTGTTTCTGTTTTTCTCCTAATTATGCCAATAATGATTCAAAGTACATGAACTGTATGTATACCTCATGTAGTGATATAGTAAACTGAAGAAATCTCATCAGTACCCACCTCCCACTAACTGATTTATATTTAACCAGTACTACGAAATCTATGCATTTTAAAAGAAAAATAACTTCTTGACACATCACGAACCATTCCTAGTTGATTAAACCGTATTTGATATGTTCAAATGCAAAAGCCTAGGAGTTCTTCAAACTGTAGTAGGACTTCCATAATTCCTAATGGTAATAATGTTCATATATGATAACTCTTTTAAAGTAAATCCATTCATTTTAAAGGAATTATACTAGAGTTGCCATAGAGTAAATAATGTGATCCAGAGTAACATCCATTGTATGAACCTGTATAAAAAAGTAATATCATCTGTGTGAAACTGGTTAGTGTTAACAGCCCGTGGTGCCAGCCAGTATAGAATAAAAACATTTGTTTGGGTGAACTTGAAATATTTAACACTCGTGTATCTTCATATGAACCTGTATGTACAGGTAAAAGTCTGTACAAAACACGACAAATATGGAGGTAATATAGCTCTTAACACAGCAATAACATGCTTTCTGGAAGTCTATATAAAATAGCAGCATATCTTGGTAGGAAAGAACATAGAGTTGACACTCTTGATAATATTAATCTATATAGGTTTGACATATCTTAGCTAATATTTGAGGAAAATAAAAATAAACCTGAAAGTGCATAGTCTGGATAGCTATATTTAAGACTAAAACATCATTACCGGCGGAGATCAAAACAAGAAGAGTACGGTATACGAGCACAGAATTTAGTCCCGTTTCCGCGTTAGTCACTATAATAATTGATATATAGCGTTTCAACCACTACATTGTCTGTGGTATTCCAGTCAGCCTGATGAGCCCTGGTATTGGACAAACTGTCACGTCTCCACTAGATATAGCAGATATAGTGTAGCTAACATATTGTTATACATTATGCTTTATTTTCATTCATAATTGCGTAGAATTATGTAACATCACATTTCAGTATATCCAGATTCAAACTTTGATTGTATCGTTTACTCTTCCAGTTACACCTGTAGAGAAACACGTCGTTTTGTGTTCTGAACTACGGTGTAGAATGACACACTCAAAATGTGTGTGTGTGTGTACAAAAACCGTTTCGCTCTCACGCGAGTGATTTTAATATCATTATCTTCTGGGTTCCTAAACTTCTAAAATTTTCGTTTGACTTTAAGAAATTTAAATCAAAATCCCATACCAAGAGTGTATCATTAGGGCATGCACTAAACTAATCGAATGGAATTTCTTGATTTATGTTTCTCATTTTGCAAAACAGTTCTTGTGGTGATACAATTGTTATGTTTATCTAACAATTATCGTTGTAAATGTATACCGATTAGTCGGTGTTTTTGTGTTGTTACATTAGTTAAACAACCGGATCAGAGATCAGGAATAGTCATCTCTAGTTTTGAACTTGTGGTGATACAATTGTTATGTTTATCTAACAATTATCGTTGTAAATGTATATCGATTAGTCGGTGTTTTTGTGTTGTTACATTAGTTAAACAACCGGATCAGAGATCAGGAATAGTCATCTCTAGTTTTAAACTTGTGGTGATACAATTGTTATGTTTATCTAACAATTATCGTTGTAAATGTATATCGATTAGTCGGTGTTTTTGTGTTGTTACATCAGTTAAACAACCGGATCAGAGATCAGGAATAGTCATCTCTAGTTTTGAACTGCGGCTACACTTAATCGAGTAGCGAGATTTAATGTTATAACTTCTCCATAGCTGTAAAGTGTGGAACCTGGCCAGAAGCGTATCGTGACTCGAACTTTGAATCCTGCTATCCGTTACCCCGATGCGCTAGCCTGGCCTGCATGTTTGTGTAACAGTTCTTGTTGTACTTGTACATTATTTGTCGGTGTGTTCGTGTAGTAATTATCTTATACTGGTATTTCAGTTCACATTTTATTTATATAACAATTTTCATTGTATTTTTTTCAAATAGTTGTCGCGCTTTGTATTTGCGTAACAGATGTTACATTCAGAAGAATGTTGTCATTGTTATGATGTAACAGTTCTCACTATATACATATTTTAACCTAGTTCTTATTGTATTTGTTTGAACGTCTTCTTTGCATTTGTTTAACAGTTTTCGTTATAATCATAGTCCGTTAAACAATTTTATCTGAAAATCTTATGTTTTTTCCTTTAAAAATGTTGATTTCATTCCAGGAAGCAAAAAAGAAAATTGAAGCAGTTTCTGAAGAAGCTAAGGAACTGGATAAACTAAAAGACGACTTGGCAGAGTTTTTATGTGAAGACGCTGCAACCTTTAATCTCGATGAATGTTTCACAGTGTTCCGTAGTTTTTGTCATAAGTTTAGAGGAGTCATTCAGGTAACTTGTTATTAAAATTCATATTGTCATTTTCTTGCTAATTATTTTTCATTGTGATTATTAAGTATTCTATTTTGAGTATTATTTTGCTATAATTATAATACGTTTGAGTTATTTTCTGTTAGTTTTCATGTAAATGAACGGTGCTTTTCTTATTGTCGTTACTTTTGAACGCTCTACAAGATGATAGTAACCAATAAATAGATAAATCATTCCCAATATTTTAAGAGCCCTTTGTTAGTTGCGAAAAGTTTATTTTCGTTTCTTTAAATTTCCCAGTATTGCGAAATTTAAAAAAAAAACTTTGTGTTTGGATCTTTATTAAAGTATGGAAAATAAAGCGATATATTTTTTGACAGGAAAACAAACTGCGCCACGAACAGGAATTGAAAGCTGAAATGAGACGCAAGAAAATGAAGGAGCAGGATACTCGCAGAAAACAAAGCACGCCCGGTAAGGCATAGTACTGTCACAAATGCTTGATCCAGAAAAGGGTGGATACATTCTAAATAAAGAACAAACAAATGGTTACTTGTCATACAAACTAATACAAGTCTCGAGATGACTCATTCTTACATCTGGAAGATCCGTCTATAATAAAACTAAAGCTGAAATATTCCTTCTTGTAGCATATAAGTAGGCTAATGCATAAGTAATTCACAAAGCGGATCTCATGTAACATTTGTCTGAAAGCCTATGCTATGTAATATAAAATCCGTTACATATAAGCGTTCAACCAGATAGTTTCTATTTCATTTTGCACCTCACTATTATAAAATACTTATGATTGCATACAATAGTTTAAAAACACACAAAAAACGCCTGTATACAACAGGGATTTTCATCATTGTAAAGTAAAGCAATACCAAATTATTTAAGTCTTTCTGTTTAATAATGTTGAGAAAGATGCTTCCATTTCTGACTTTTGCATGTTTGTATATTTAAACGCTTAATAAAAGGTCGGGAAATGTTCGTCTTTAAGAATATATGGATAACATTTGCATGTTTCAAGTATCGACACCTGCAGTATGTAAATGAATTAAATGTTTTAAATGTACTGAATTTGTTTATTTTTATTTTTAGTGTCATCACGTTATCGATCCCCCACACTTTGTGGAAATGAAACATTGACTAACATTGTCGGCACACTCTTGGATGATGGATTGCCTGATTTTCAAGCTCGTATACCACGTCTACGTAACAACTCTGATGACTCCAGTAGCGTAGCACTATCAAGAACGAGTTCTATTAGTTCCCTAAGTACTTGCTGGGATAATTCCGAATCCAGTGAACTCTCTAGTATTTCGTGTGATTCATCTAAAAGGAGAAACCGACGAAGTGAAATATTTTCCGAAAATGAAGATGATATTTCCCCAATTTTGCCTGACAGTTCTGACCAGGAATCTACAGGATATAGTTCTATGAGTTGCAGCGAAGACGGTTCTTTTGATAGACAATCCCTTTTCCGAAAATCACTCAAAAAGAGACGCAAAAGCTTACTGCTTGCAGAAATGAACGAACGAGATCGTGTTATTTTGTCAGTTCCTTGCTTGGAAACCTCTGAGGAAGAGGAAAAAGAGCAAAAGCCACAAACAAGTCCTGAAGTATTTGTGGAAGATATAATAGATGAAGAGGAAATGTTTTCCACAGAAAGAAATGCAGAAAGAACTGTGCAGGACATTAATAGAAATGGTAATGATGCTCAACTTCAGTTGTCCCCCACAACAATAGCGGAACAGCTAAGTGATACAATAAGAAATGGAACAAATTTAACACGCGACAGTAAACTTTACCACAGTATGAGAGAATATTCTACAAACGAAACTCCTATAATAGAAGCTCATAATATAAACGATGACATAGGTATTCATAATCCTCGTATAAAAGATAAATCGATGTTTCGAAAAAGTACATTCAACATGCTGTATTCTAGTGAACCTGTAGAGAAACAAGAGGGACGAATTCGAACGCCAGAAATGGAAAACGATTTTTTCAAAGAAGAAATCAGGATTAAGGAAACACAGACGATCACTACAGAGACATCTTTAGTTGAAATTGATTTCGAAAATTCCAACAATTCTTGTATGACACAATTAGAAACAAAATCGAATAACTTCGAAAGTGCATCCTCTTGTACTTTGACCGAATCGCTCTCGCTCCTGCAAAGTCCTGACCAACACGCAAAAGGTAGTGTTTTGTCTGAAAACCCTTATTCTTCAAATATGTTAAAGTCTTGTCCAGAGGAAGAATGTTTCGAAATTAAATGTGACTTTTCTAATTTAACGAAACAGCTACCGTCTTCCAGTTCTCAAGGTGAAATACACCATTCGGTGAACCATGAAGAAGAACAGTCTGAAAAGCAGGCACAGGTATCTGATAACTCACAAAATGCAAATATTAGTCATCAGAAAACTGGGAAACTGAGTTTTTTCAATAAAAAAATTGACGACGTAGTTGCCGACACAGGTACACAAGGAAAATATTTAGTGAGAGCTGACGACAGTTTAAGCAATGAATATATAAATAATATACCAGGTTCTGACCAACAAAATGAACTGTATCAAGATATAAAAGATTTCACAACTGAAAACATCTCTAAAGATGCAAACACAATTAAAAAGGATGATTTTCAAGTTCTCCATCAAAGTACAAAAGTGCAAGTTAACTCCACAGAACGTACAGACATTCTTAATGAAGATGGAGTTAATGAGAAAGATTCAACAGAAATAATTTCAAATCAGAGTTCTCAAAGATGTGAAAATTCTGACTTTGATGATAGTATGGAACCAGAAACAGTTGAAACATGTCATTTAAAGAATGCAGAAAGGGAAAAAGGATTTAGTCGGTTCTCTCGGCACAAACAAACTGTTGGAGAATCTACAGAATCTTATGGAAAACCTAAGCCTTTCCAGGGTTTTAGAGATATGAAAGACAAACATTCAAACCGTGAATTACAAACAATGAAACACACAGGTTTGAAGCCACCTTTAAGAGTAAAGGAAACTGTAGGTAATGTATTACCTCAACAAAAGGTAAAAAAAACACTCCCGGATCGCCTAGTTAACACACAATATTCTCCAAGTTATCGTAGCCAAACAGTGAATAATTTACAAAATAAAAAATTAAAAGCTAGTGTTAATTCTGTGTCTGGACTGACTAAATCTAATTCTAGCAGACTTTCCCAAAAGTTACCTGCTTCTAGTACAACAAAAAAGGCCAACATTACCCAAAAAGGAACCGAAACGAACCAAAATGCCATTGCTTTGAAAAAATCGACTTCTCATCTTACTTTAACAGAAAAGACAAAGTCTAAAGTCTATTCAAAAGTAAATAAACCTCAGTTTAACCAGGCTCCTACTCAAAAGTCTAAGCTACCTTCTAAACCCAATCATTCCAGTGGAATAAAACATTCAGAAACCATTCACAAGGAAAAGCATGGTCCTAATCTAATGAGAAAGAAAAATGGGGATATCAGCGTTAATAGTAAAAAAAGTATCTCCCGAGAAGATGTGAAAGGTTCATCATTGGAAAATGGTGAAAGAAGAACGAACTGCAGCAACACCTTTGCTTCAAATTGCAGCTTAACTACTGCTTATAATTCTTCAGACAGTGCCTATGATACCGAAGCTTCAAATTTTTCTTATAGTAATCAAATAAAATATCGAGTTGAAGAAGAAAGTTCTGAAACACCGAAAATGGAAAACGATCCCAAAACATCTTACAAGACAAATGGACAGCGACCAAAACGTGTTGATATTGCATGTCATAAAGATAAAATAAAAGTTCAAAGTATTTCAAAGCCAAAAGCCAATACTACTACGCATTCGAATAGTTCCAACACAATTAAACCTAAACAAAATAGAAAGGAGGGTATTCTAAACAAGCCACTGAAGTCTCAAACCTCATCAAAGAGTTTTGAAACTAGAGGAAAAACCCAGAAAAATTCTAACAAGGCAGATATGAAGTTTCAGGTAAGTCAAAGACGCTCTGATACAATGTCAAAAGCTTCAATGCCTTTAAATCGTCAGTTAAAGGACTCAACTAATAAAGAAATTCCAATTTCCTTAAAAGCCAAGAAAAAGTTAGAAGCAAACTTAAAGCCTTCGGAAAGAAAATGTAATACAAGTGGAAAAAAATCCACTCCACTTTTGACAGATCAAGTTGCCTCTTCAAAAAAACTACTACATGGAAATCATTCCGCCCCTGAAAATCCAGAACGTCATTTTGTCCGTAAAGCAAATCAAACCAGAACTGGAGGTTCTTCTACGTTTAACAGATTCTCAACCGTGGCTTCAAAACCTGATGTTTTAAAAAATTCAAAAGTAAATGTTTCCGATTTGCCAAAAAGTAATTTATCGAGATCTGCATCCGTTACTGCTACAAGGAAACCGCATATTAATCTTACCGAAAGAAAGAAAAACACTGCCAAATCAAGCACAGAAAAAGCCAAAACTAACTTACCCTTGAAAAAAAGTGCTAGTGTTAGATATAATTAAAATATTTGTGATCAACACTTTAAATTGAAAATTGTTAGCAATGTTGTAAACCTAAGAAGTACATGTATCTTCGATAATGAGTAACCAATCGTATATAACGCATCTCTTTAAAAAAACAACAGTAACTATCCCGAGAAGGCTTTCACGCAAAAATATTTTAGTTACAATGATTAGTTTTCCATTTGGTTGAAGGTAAGCGTGTATAGTTTTTAAAACGTTTTCTTTTTACTACGAGGTAACACTTATGTAGAAATCAACTATAATATTTTATGTAAGTTTCATTTACGATTGTTATCGTCCAGTATGTTTTAGATTAATGTTAAGATGTTTTACATTACGTTTGTATAATGACTATTTTTTTTTCGACTTTAGAATTGTTGTTGTTATGACTTCCATGTATAATGCATTTTAATACAATTGCCATGTCATTGAGAAACAAAAAAAAATGTTTGTTGATACTTGCAGACTTTTAGGGTGTATTTTTACACATCGTTTAGTCATAGAATAATTAAAATGTTTTTGAATAAGGAAAATGTGTCATGCTTATATCAGACGAGTTTTGTTATATGTAAGATATACAGGTGTAATGTATACATGTTATCGTGCATTTCTTGTTGTTTATAATATTTTGCTCTAAATATGTTTATATACGCTAAAAAACACGAACCTTCACGCAATCTATTTTTGTTGTTGTTGTTGTTTTCTTCCGGGCACGAAAGTTTGACTTCAGTAATAATTCTTATAATTATCTAGAAAAGCATGTGTCATAGGTAAATTTAGTCTCTGATGTGTCTAAATGCATATTATTTAATTGCTGATTTTACAAGAAGTTTAAGTAATAAATATATTTTGACATAGAAGCTGTTTTGAAAAAAAAAAAAAGAAAATCATATAAACTGTTAGCAATATCAATATATTTCGCAAATAGCTATAAAAAACGATTACAATCTGGTTTGGTCAGCTTCTCACAGATCCTTACCTCTTGCGAAAAATTCATAATTCTATTTTCTAGTAAAAAAAAAGTATTTTGCGTGATGAATACAAAACAGTATAATAACCATATTCTAATAAGTCCAATACAGATTTCTGTATAGTTGGGTCAAATTTGTCCAGGAATATGCGAAATAAAACTGTTGTTATTTACTCGTATTATTATTTTTGGGTATGGTTACTTGTGAGACAGTTTTGTTTTGTTTGTAGTAAAAAAATATACACGTGTACGAGCTTCCTAGGCATAACAGAAGGTGTTAAAATGGACTTATTTTCACTCTCATGTTTGTTGAACGTATGGCAATATAACTTATAAATGAAATTAAAGATGATGAGGTTATAAAAAACATAAGATAAGTAAATAATATAGCTCAATTTGTAACTGTTAAAACATTAATTATGATAAACATTTTAATGAGACGGGCACAAATATCTCAAGTCATGCTCTGATTATTTTAAAAAAGATTGGTGTTAAATATTTTTTTAACTGTGACTGGCTGCATTGAATAAGCAAACTACGGAAACGTTATGTAGTGGACAGTGCTCACGAAATAGTAATGTTGTGTGATTTTACATGATAAACTTTATCTAATTGAAAGTGCATTGAAATGTTTTCTTCCTTATGCTAGAAGAACTTAAGAAATTAAAATTTCAACTTGTTATACACGTATCTGATCATATAATAAAAGCACAATATGTATCAACATAGTATGATGTATTTGCATACAGTTTCAGTATTTGATGTATTTCACTTCAATAAGCTTACTGCAGTGAAGATACTAATAATACTTACGATTTTTGATTAAATGAAATCCGGCACCAGCAAATCAATATTTAACTTAATAAAAGTTGTATTTCACTGAAGACTATTTGGAATTATTATATAATAATATAAATGAAGCCTAGATTTAATACTACAGTTTGGTGACAAAGACAGATATTGGACGCACAGATTAAGATCATTTATCACAATACGATTTGAAATATTAGTCAGTTGGAGTCGTGAAAACTGCCTTCACCTGTTAATCAGATAATCTCGCTATTAACAATGTTTCCCAGTCTACACCTCAAAAATTAACATTGGTTGCATAATATAAGATTTTAAGCCAAACTTAAATTAAGCGTTTTCTAGCCATACTAGAAATTACCAATAGCCTTCACCAATGAAAACTACATTTTACAGAAAGCATCTCTTTTTATTTATGCTGTTTCATATACAAGAAATTGCTTCTTCCACACTTCTCTTAAGTATTTCTGATGTAACTATTCTATTCCTTTAGATGTTGGGACTAAATGAAAAAAATTAATATTTTAACTTAACTTTAGAATCAATCGGTATAGCTCTGATATATTGTAAATATATTACAAAAAAACAACAACAGCAGCAAGTAAGTTCTTTCTTCTGGTGTAATGTCTAATTGGTCAACTTGTTAGCTAATTGTTGTTGTTACAGTAACTGTCATAAACCAAACTCAAACTACAAGTTCGACATTTCAAAACTTAGCTTGGAATGTTTATAAACATAACTGTTGGAAGGAGTGAATTTTTTGTTTTCAGATTTTTCAGAAACTACTGGATTATGTAAATTTTCCACTCATTTTTATGTATGGAATTTTACATTTTGCCTAATATCCGTTAAATGCTATTCAATAATCAAATCTTAATTAATATAACAAATCTTTAACGAAATTGTTATGTATTATATTTAATTCCACGTTTTTTAACATTATATGTTATGCCATACATAAGTATGAGCGCTTGTTGTTTGTTAGATTTTTAAAGCTGTCTCTAAAACTAGTATTCTGATTGCAATCACTTATACCATCTTGAGTTATATGTAAATAAACAGTTTCGTTAAATTCTCTTGTTAATTCTTTTTTTCTATCATGCATTTTGGTGTAATATTTAGAATGTTGGAATGTGAATCTATGGGTTTATAGATTGTGGTCCATTGCCTCAAAATTGCAATCTGTTCTTTGTGGCAATGGGTGAATTATAAGTGATAATCAAATCTTCCAGTTCGGTTTAACAAGAGTAGTGCAAGAGTTTGTCTGTTTGTAGTTAAGTATAAAGCTACACAATGGGCTATCTGTGATCTGCCCACCACTGGTATCGAAACCCGGATTCTAGCCTTGAAAGTCCGCAGACATACCGCTGTGCCACTGGGGGGCATAGTACAAGAGATAGAGGTGGTTGGTGTTAACCCCTTCCTCCTAGTCTATCAGTTCAAAATTAGGGATGGCCACTGCGGGCCGAATTAAAGGAAATGCTTAAGACGATGATATACTGTTAAATTAATATTGTACACAGCGTGGTCACAAGTAAATAGACACCACTTTTTCAGAAAAAATGAAAATTTTCAGTCATATT